CATCTTAAGGGGAACCCTACAGAGCTTATCCAACAGTAAGTATATTTGGAACAGTTAAGGGCAATGAAGAAAACCTAGAGTTGAAAAATAGAAAGAATGGACTGGATTCAACTTTGGAAAGTTGAAAAGCACTTTTACTGACCTCATGCTTCCCATAACAGCCAAGATTCATCTTTTCAATGCAAACATATCAGTAGTGCTGCCATACTGTTAACACCTGAAATACCACTGCCTCTGAAGAATTAAAGATGAGCACCACATAATGGGCACATGGTGGTTCTAAGCAGGCTGCAGTATAACCAAAAAGGAACTTCAAAGAAGGACGGGAGTAAAGGATGTCATCAAAGAACTGAATGATAGAGAAGATGTGGCGAAACTAAAGGGATGACAGGTAGATGACCAAAACGTTCCCTCCACTAGTACCCTAGTGATGTGAGAAAGTGAGGAAGGTCTCTAGAACTGGGTGGAGGATGCCTGTGGCAGACTTTCAGAAAGACTTAGATGAGAGTTACGAAGGGACAAATGGGTTGTGAACTGCATCTTTGGAGGGAACTCCTGAAACCTCAGATTCATCTGAATATCTGAGAGAGAACTGGCACACTTTTACTTTCACATTTCCATAATAAAGTTTGTTTCCATGTTATATACACATGTAAGCATATCCTTCGTATATATTTAATGGATTTGATTAAACTGATTGGTTTTGTGTATTGTCCTTTATTAATCACAAAGGCATTTTTACTGAAGATAAAATGTACTACAACCTTTAGGACAGGGCCCAATCCATATTTTCTATAGCAATGATTCAACATTTTAAGTAAGCAAGAAAAAAAGTAGATTTAATGTACTTATTACAAAATTATACATAATTACATGTTATATAATACCATATGTGCTAATAAAATACATAATAAATATAAATTTAAAGATTAATTCATGCTTCAAGAATTCACATAATAGAGGTGCCTGATGTCATAAAACAAAATCCTCTTTCACATGACCATTTCCAAAAGCGTTTCTGTTAAATTTGAATTTTAATGCATTTGACTTCTCTTGATATCTAGTCTTGTAGTCCAAGTCCTATCAGTCTTATAACACAAAACATTCCCAAACTATATTTGATTTATAATATTAGCTGTTGGTGTGAATTAGAAATTCAGTTACAGAGACTTACTAGACTATAATGAAGTGTCATTGTCTCTTGGATCCTAACAATGTTTTTGGATATAAAAGAAATAAAGCCAATAAAGTACAGTTAAAAGAATAAATTAATGCTTATGCTATAGTCACATGATTTATTAAAGTGTTTCAAAACATAAACTGAAATGTTTGTAAAAACTTAGTATAAGTGCATATTGAGTCTCCAAATGATGCATCTTTGGTGATGAATCTAAGTCATGCAGTTTTTATATTATAATTGGATGAGGAATGAACCAAAATACCCTCCCCCACCATATACCATTAGCTCTTCTCAGAAGAATTTTATACTCCTGATTAATGAGGTGTTTTTTAATTTGAAGCTTCATCAACATCATTTGAATGGAATCTGCTTTGGAAGCAGAATGTCAAAAGCAACTCTTATTGGCATTTTAACTAAAGATCTCTAGGCATAAAAAATGAATCAAAATAGGGGAACATGAAGTAAGTGGGTCAAGACAGCAAATAGGTAAAGACAATGAGAATGAGGCAACTGTGAAAAAGAAGAAAGGGTCATAAATGGAAAGCATGAAAGCATCAAAGAAGTATAGAGGACAAAGAAGATGAGGAAAGGAAGATGAAGAGAACTCAAGAAAAATCAGTTTATTCTTATGTAAAATTCAACATGTAATACATCTGTAATTCTGATTTCTTCCTTTTCAATCTCAAATGCTGTCAAATGGTAAAGTCCAAAATTGACACCCAGGCAAACATCTGCGGATCATAATTCTTAGACTGGACTTTAATTTACATACATTGTATAAAAGTCTATCACATAAACCAGCAAGTAGGCCTGCTCATAGCAATCCTCATTTGCATCATAAGGATCCATGAATCAGTTTCAAAAGAAATTCAAGAGTCATCCCTGAGTTTAAGGCTTTCTTTCTGACACATTTTTTAAAAATTAAACCTAATTGGTTTTTTTCAGCTTGCTAACTTCAAGTACAGCTGCCTCCTGGAAACAACATCCTGTTCTTGTGTGTTAACTCTTTTCAAATAAACTGAATTTCTATTATACTTCATTTCTAGGCCAAATGAGTACTGAATGTATAACCAGAACACTTAGAATACAATACTGGCCATAAAAACAGAAAGATCTGAGTTCAAATGCTGCCTCAGACATTTCCCAATTGTGTGGCCCTGGGCTCTTGTTGGCCACTTTTCTCAGTTGTAAAATGAGATAGTAGCACCAACCCCACAGGGTTGTTGAAAGGATCAAATACATTAATGTGTAAAGCTCTTCTGTACATCTTAAAGCACTATACAAATGCTAGCTATTATTATTAACATTACTTCACCTCTCTGGGCCTCATTTTCCTTCTCTATATAGTGAGTAGATTGGACTAAATTATCTCTGATGATCTTCTCATTCTTTTCTTTCTGACTTAAAATGTTTACCTAGCCCTAAATAAAATTATGACTGGGCCAAATAAAGCCTGACCTATATTCAATGTTTTGTTAGACTAGGTGCTTGCATTAGATCCAAGGGCCCTTTGACTTTTTAAAGGGGGAAAGCGAGGATGGGGGTAGTAAAGAACTAGATATAACTCAAATTCTGATATTCTCAGGGGGAAACCCTGGATTCAGGCATGAAGAAAAAGGGAAGGCAAAGGAGTAAGGGAAAAAGCATTTATAAAGTGTCCACCTATGTACCAGGCACTATGCTAAGTGCTTTACAACTATTACCTCATTTGATCCTCACAACAACCTTGAGAGATAGGTGCTATTACTCAGTTGAAGAAACTGAGACAGACAGAGATGAAGTGATTTGTCCCAGATCACACAGCTAGCAAGTGTCTGAGGCTGGATTTGAACTAAAGTCTTCCTGATTCCAGGCCCCGCGCTCTATGTATTACACCATCTTTGCTTCCAAAATAACAAGAACAACACAAATCATTACTGAGAAGCCTTCAAGACTGAATCTGGTGTGTGTAAACCTACAGCTTTCCTTCTGGCCTTAGATTATGTTTCATTTGACTTCTCTAATGTACCCACATTACAATGAAACTACTGATTTGAGTGTCAGAACCTTAAGATCTTGATTTAATTATTAAGATCCTTTCCTATGCATAACAAAAAAAAAATCAGGAGAAGGGGGGAAAAGACAAAATAAAGAGAAAAAAAGGACAAATTAGTAGAATAATGAACATCACAGAGTTAAAATTCACATACCACTGACACAATTTAACCATCTTGACTCTGCAACACTTTGTGAAACTATGTCCTAGACATGACCGGCCTGTAGTAGTGTACAGTCATGCTAGTTGATCAACCCTCACAAGTTCGATGACATGGGACTAGTAAGTAAAGACTCTTAGTTAACCCAGTGAACCTGGGAACTGTAATGAATGGGGTAAAAATATTTCAGCTACTGGTATTGCTCATTAGAATTCTTTTTTCCCCATAGGGAAGGGCAGACATTAGTCATTAGTTTAATCTGATGTTTCTTCAGTAACAAGGTACTAGAAGAGCTTCTTTTGGAAGAACCATATAGCAGCATGGCATTCCTTATCATTAAAGGCATAAAACCACTCAAGGCTAAAAGATACCACCTACTGAAGGCATCTCCTTGTAATTCATTACCCAAAACTCTCATGTCTCATGAATTCACCCATCATCCATCACACACACACACACACCCGAGTTCCCACTGAGTGAAAGGAACCAAAGAAAGCTGAAAATGGGAGCAGAAAGCTCTCTTGATTCTCAAGATACTTCCAAAATTCTCTCCCAGATAAATTTTTTTTTTAAATTTCAGTACCATAAGCCCTTTATCCTCCCACATATCACCCTTTGTTTCCTTTTTGTCTATGGTCTTGAGTAACTGCTTCAGAAAGCTTAAAGAAAATTTAACTGATGTGATACCAGTTTAACATTGTTCATCCAAATGCATCCTCCACATGGCACTCCAAGTGATTTTTCTAAAGCCCAAGTCCAACCATATTGTTTCACTACTCAATAAACTCTGTTGACTCAAATAAAGCTCAAATTCAAACTCCTGTTTGGTATTTATAGCTCCTCATAATCTCATCCCAACCTACCTTTTCATACCTTATTATACATTACTTCTCCTCTCTTCACTCTCTAGATGACCAAATTCTCCTCAGCTACCATCTCTGTGACTTTTGACGTGCTGTCCTCAATTCCTGGAATGTATTCCATCTTTAATTTCACCTCTTCAATGCCCTAGTTTCTTTCAAAGTTTACTTCAAGCATTATCTTCAATATAAAAGCCCTTTCTGATACCCATGGTGCTAGTTCTCTCCTCAAATTTATTACATATGTATTTTATGTTTTACCAAATAGGTACACATTGTTTCCTTCAACAGATTGCAACTTCTTTGAGGACAGAAACTACTGCTTTTTTTTTTTTAAGGGGTTTTGTATTCCTATTGCCTAGAACAGTATCCTGGCATATAGTAGTCAATTTATATATCTCTGTTAATTGAACAACAAATGCCAACTCTGACCTATGGTTTGAATAAATGACCTTATCTCATTTCTTTTTGTTGAACAGAGACATAGGGTATCCAGAAAGCTTTTAAAGAGTGGTAGCTTACTATGTCTTATAATGTGGGTCCCTGGAATGGCAGCTATCTGTGACAGAAAAAAACTTCAATGAAAATGGACAGTAATATTTTATAAACATAACAGTCACATTTCCAGGGGAAAAAAAGGGCAAGTACTCTGCACGCACAGTAGGCTTTTAATAAGTGTCTGTTGAACCAATGCATCAGAGTAGGGCAGTTTCCTTCCTCTCTGCTTCCTGTTCCTATGTTTGCTGCCTGATTAAAAGGTCTTACCGTAGGGTCGAATGTCTCCCAGAGCGAGAGATGCTATTTCCAACAGGTGATGGTAAGTTGCTTCCTCTATGCAAGTCTTCAATAGACCTGCTCCATGGTTTTGACTTGTCCACTGAGTTTTCCACATTGTTCTCCAAACTTTCAAAGTCAAAACTGAAAAGAAACAGATTATTATCCTGAAGGCTTGCAAAGCAACAACAAATACACACATAGATGTGTATCACTTATTCTTCCTATTAAAAAAATCTATCCTTCCTTTCTTATTTCCATACATTTTGATAGTAATAGTGGTAGCAGGTTACATTTTATTGGTAGTCAGTTGTTTCACTTGTGTCCAATTCTTCATGACTCCATTTTGGGGTTTTCTTGGCAAAGAAATTGAAGTGGTTTGCCATTTCTTTCTCCGCCTCATTTTACAGATGAGGAAATTGAGGCAAACAGAGTTAAGTGACTTGCCCAGGATCACACAGCTAGCATCTAAGGCCATATATGAATTCAGGTCTTCTTGACTTCAGGCCCAGCACTCTACACAATTAAGTCCTGACTCCAAGTCCAGGGCTCTATTCACTACACCACCTATCTGCTTGTATTTTACATTACACAGCACTTTAAGGTGCAAGGCTTCCCTTACAATACACTGTAAGGTCAGTAGGACAAATGTCAGCATCCCATTTTACATAAGAAAACTGACTCTCAGACAGGCTAACTTATCCCCAGTCACAAAGAGGTGCTCACACCCAGCGGTCCTAACTCCAAGTCCACAGTTTTTTCTACTACACCACATGGCTTTCTTTTCTACACTAAGTCCCAGTGGAAGTAAAATAGCAAAACAACTTATGTAAAAGGATTTCACATGAATTCCAATAGGTATTAGTTTGAATTACAGACTGTGGTAAATAATGAACCTGGACAAAAGAATAAGTGAACAGTGCAGGAATGTAATCTAGAAACAATTAAACACTCACGTGTTATTTTTAAGTTTGTATAAAACAAATATAACAAATGCTGATTTGCCAAGTCACAACATTGCCATAGTGGAGGGGGAAAATATAGATCTTACAGCTGTCTTCATTTTCCTTTAACAAATCAATACTTTGTGTTTGTACTAATTTATTCCTACCCATCAATTGTGACTGAGTATTTCTCCTGGTGTGCTGGCAAGGGGACTCTCCAACCATGTGTGATACATTACCATCATAATTATAGATTCTCTTTGATTTTTTAAAAACAATGTGTTGCTGTTTAAAGAGACTTGCTTCCCCGACATTTGTTGAGGTCTTTATTAATGTTAGTCATGTTGGAATGAATGGCAGGTTAACTTGCTCACACTTATACCATTTTAGGAACAGATTTTTTTAAAAAGAGGCAGGACTTTGTATCTCATGCACATCTTCTAAATCTGGCTTCATTAACTGTTTCTATGTGTGTTTCTAACCATTCCATCTTACTAGAATGAGTATAACTGGTCAAAAAATATGATCCTCCTTCAATCACTAGAAACCTTCTATGGATGGGACAAACTGTCTGAGTTGGACTGGTAGAACTCTCAGGCAGTGTGTCCACAGCTCTAAAAAGAGGGAAGTTCTATATATAACCTTTCATCATGCCACTGATAAGGCACCTCGGAGGCCTTGACACTGCAAAGACCTCTCTATGCTCCTTTGAGCGGCTTCTTCTCCATTACACAAAAGAAGATGACATGGACTGCCTGAAGAAGCCACATGGACCAAGGTCAAAGAAGCTCTCCTCTCTTCCAAAAAAAATGAGGACATGCCACTGACACTAAGCAATTCTTTTGTCCTCAGATATTTAAATAGCCTAGGGCTATGGTACTAGGTGCCTTTGTCCATTATATATAAAGGAAGGTGTGCAAGACAGCATGACACAGTAGAGAGGGGGCTCTGGATTTGAAGAAACATGCGCTTAATTTGTGCCTCTTACACATAGTGGTTGTGTGACCCTGGGCAAATCACTTACCTCTTGTGTCCTAGATAACTAAGATTATAAGTTGCAGAGTATCTGCTGGTTTACATTGGTAAAGGGAATTTCCTCGCCAGTATCTCTTACACCAATGAAATCATGGTTCTGGTTCAAAAAAGTGCGGTGGAAATATTTGTGAGGATAATCAAATAAGGCTGGCAGAAAACTAGTATTATACATATGATGAGTTAAACACAATGTATACATAGTATGACATATTTTTAAAAAATGTGCCTCCGCTGACTTAGCCTTTCTTCCACTCCATAAACATAACCCCAAACTTAAAAAATATGGACCATACATAAGAGGGTAATGTTATTTTGACACAGATATGCAGAGAGAGAAGAGGAGGTTGGCAGCTGGATACAATGGAAGTTGATAAGAAACAAATTCTGGAAATGAAAACTATGAAACACAGCTTATGTTTTATAGGACAATTTCTCAAGACAGCAACAACTTGCTCATTTGTTTTTCTGGGTCTGTCCCATATGATTCGTGGGAGGCATCAAAGCTGAAACTCACTAAGCAAGTTTTGGTATTTCAGCTTCTTCGTCTGCCAGGTAGGAATAATTATAGCTTCCTCCTGACTACCTCCCAGAGAAATTGTGAAGATTAAAGAGATAACATCGGTTAAGGACTCAAAACATCACATAAGGTACTGTTATTAAAAGTAGAATTAGGAAAAAACAGACTACCCTCAAATACTAGATCAAAGTTCTTTCAGTGAGGATCAAGATGCAACCACATTTCCTCCCTAATTTGTGCACTGTATACATTTGCTTATGAGGAAAAAAAAACATAAAGAAAAAGATAATTTCTCCTTCAAATGCAGTTTTGTTGCAAATCTTACCAATAGTTTGGGTAACAGGAGCAATCTGTGTACTAGAACACAACATATTTAACCATAAATTTCAACAGCATTTTTAAGGAGGAATGGATCCTCCTCCAAAGGGCCATTTTATCACCTGTTAGATTCCAGTCTTAAAGTCACCTATAATTCCAATTATATAATTTGTTCCAAGCTACAATAAACCTCTTTAAAAACCGCCACATCTGCTTCCACACTTCCTCCTCCTAATAGAATTGTATCACCAAGCTTCTTCTTCTGTAACCACATGAAATCTCAATGCATACAAGTTTAGTTATACTTACGTTACTGCGTACTGTGCAAATGACAAATACTCCACCAGAACATCAAGACCTTTGTTTTCTTCATTCAAAAACTCTCTGACCCATCTGTTAGAAAAATCATTAGAGAACAGTTCACTTTATGGTGCTCTACTGAAGGAAGGGAACAGTGGAAACATTTTCTCAGAAACATTCACTGTATCAAAGGAAATGTGGAATAAAGCCTTTAATCTTTCACAAGTTAAAAGTGGCCTTTTACGTATGGAAACTAAGGCAACCAAATCATGACACACGGAAGGGTGTAAAATTTATACTTATGCCATGCATACATTTTACTGCTTGGAAGGCTTTAGGAAACCTCTATGGAACTTTCTAAAAAAAGAAACCTGGTAAATGTTGTACTTTTTTCCACCACAAATTGATCTGCAGTGTACTTGGTGAAGGGGCCAACATTATAAGGGGAACTCAGCAAGCTGGTAACATGATGACACCACCACCAAAGTTCAGGCCTCATTCCAAATCCACACTCATCTCCTTTCTGGCACACCAAGCTGTAGAAACCACCAAACTAGCCAACGTCAGGCCAGTGTTTATGGGCTTCTTGAAATTCAATAGGCATAATGATTTGGCTTAATTTTTTCCATGAACATGAAAAGCTTTGAAAAAGTTACAGACACCACATAATATTTGCCAGGATATGACAAATATAATCTTTCTTTTTAAAATGTATTTTTAAGTACATATTACTCCTCTTTCAAAACAATGCATTGATTAGTATAAGTTGGCATGATCATTATTCAAGGAAGCGGTCAAAGAAATAATTAAGTAACTAAGTAACTAAACAAAAAGGTATGTTAGATCCATTGTGGTTCAGTGCTCCAATCCCCCTTGTGTTGCTGGCTTTGGGATTAATCCTGAAGAATCTGCTTAGGGGTTCCATTTATTTATTTTCTCACCAACTTCATCTCTGGAAAGGGGATGACTTAGGATGCTTAGATGAACCTTAGCCAAAGTCAGAACCACAAAGGTTAACTAAGGAAATATCTCTACTGAACAGATAGCTAGAATTCATTAATGCAAAATGTGTTCCAACAGAGTTGTGTTCCCCTAGTCTTTAATCTTCCAAAGAAACCAGGGACTACAGTGTGCCATGATATCTTTTGCAGGTGATGCAGGCCAACTCCACCAAACCCTTTCACTCATCCAGAATGGGAGCAGGGACAAGAAGATTAGAGATTACTTAAATGACTGATGGATATTCATGAGTGCAGGCCCGGATTCCAAAGGAATTCTACCAAGTCCTGTGTTTAGCCTCGCCTGATGTTTTCAAAGGTAGCTGAAGTTTGCTCACCTAGATTAGAATGTCCAGATGCTTTTTTGTCTACCTTGGTATAAATCTCTATAGCCTCTAACGTCTGTAGGCCATCCAGAACCAGTCAGTGACCTAAACTGAACTTGTTACAGGGACTTTAGCTAGCCATATGTGGCTTCCTCAAAACAAGGGTTTAGGATGGCAGTGAAGCAATGAAGTAGAGGGCCCATTATGAGTATGTGTTCCACCAATGGTTTTTATATTACTCAATAAACCCTGTCATTGGTAGAAGGTAAGGGTGACTCCTTTTCTATTCTTAGAAATCTAGGGCTTAACACCTATAATCTGTCAACACAATAGTGATGTGAAAATTTGATAAATCCATGGCTGACTTTGAGAAAAATGACTAACAAAATGACTGGGCTTCCTGCACTGAAGGACTCTCATCTATGCCTGCTGAGGAGAAGAGGCAACAGGGGAAGCCTGGAATCTGTCCTTCCCATCTTCTGTTATCAGCTCTCAGCTCTAGTCCACCTGGTTCTATCTTGCCCATTATCTGGATCCAGGCCTACAGGGACCCTAGAAACAAAAGAGGTTAAATGTGCCTCTTATTTTCTACTTAAGCTATTCTGAATAGGTCCCCATGATGCTCATAAGGCTACAGTAGTAATATGTGAGTCTCTGATGTGCATATGCTTAACTGAAATTTAAGGTTGTGACACATACTAAGAATGGCTAGGAAACAGTATTGGTTATGACTAATGATATGACTTTGTCATGAGAACTATACTAAACCAGCTCAGCTGGACAACCATGTATGTGATCTGACAGTATCTGTTTGTAGATTGTTTTTCTAAATGTGATTTATTGTAGTAATTAGGCCTTGGGACATGTTGACAACGTTGATAATCAGAGGTTTAGAAATCACAAAAAACAAAACAAAACAAAATGAAACAAAATGGCATACAAACTGGAGAGACAATTAGACTAACTCTCAAAATCTGATTCTCAGTTTGTTCTTTAAATAAAAACCTCTTGGCTTTTCTACCATTCCTACTGATGGGTTCTCAGAAGGAAGATTTGCATACAGATTTCAGTGAAGGGTGGACATTTAAAGCAAACTACTAAGGCCTTTGGCCCTTCTAGAACACCTAAATCTCAGTTATCTGAAACTGCACAGTTTCACGAATACCACCAAAGGTTACCAGGACCCTCCACGCACTCTATATACCTTGTATTTATATAGCTATTTATATATTGTCTACTGCATTAGAATATGAGCTTCTGGATGCAAGAACCATATTTTTGTCTTTCTATCCTCAGCACTTAGCACAGCGTCTAGCACATGCTAATTGCTTCATAAATGCTTGCTGACTGCTGATATGCCATTTTCTAAGCTCTTCTTTGGAGGGTATCTAGAGTATAGAGCCACAGCCAAAAAGGGACCCCCCCAAAAAAAAGATAGTATAAGGTGTCAGTATGACACAGTAGAAAGAACATTGTAGTTGGAAGTCAGAGGACCCAAGTTTCATTTCCTGGTTCTGCTGTTTACTATCTATATAAGATAGGACAAATCACTTAAACCTCTATGATGCCCAGGTTTCTCATGTGTAAAATGAGAGGGTTGGACAAAATGATCTCCAAAGTTCCTTGAAGTTTCTATCTCTATGGTCTCAGGATGAAAAGACCTAAAGCAGGCTGACAGAAGAACACTATGCAATCAAAGATTCAAAACGCCAATTTGTATACACTTTGCATACCGAAGTCCTGACTCTTTATAAGATAAGAGTTAATTAGTTCTACGTGGCATTCCTGGTCCTTTCCTGCCCTTGGGTATCAGAAGCCTAAGCCTGAGTGAGTAATCACCTCCAGGTAGATTGTTGTTGTTGATGTCCTTGCTGCTACCGCTGTTGTTGGTGGTGGTGTTGTAGCTCAACCTTTGTTCTTGAAAAGGACCAGCGATATCACGACAGTGATGCCATGACTTGCTGAAGTGGATTTAAGTGAGGCAGGGCTATGCAAAGTCATCAGCCTCACTCTCTCCTCTAGAGTCATCACAGTCCAGTGGCAAGATACAGGTCAGCACAACTGGCAATGGCCCAGGATGCAGTGGGGGACTCTGGCCTTTTTAATCTAAGTTCTTTTCCAGGTCTCAGTTTGTTTGAGGCAACCCTCATCCAGTAATTCGAGGCTAGGTAAGAACCCAGGCAAAAAATGGCCTAATTTGCCTTCACAAAAGAATTAATCTGGGAGGGAAAAACTCTCTGAGCTCTAGGTAGAATAAAAGGATGGATGATGTAAATAATGGGGCGTTCATGCCAGGTAGACCAGAGGTGTCAAAAACGTGGCCCTTCAGCCACATGCACCACGACTCTAAGTGTGACCGAAGCAGATTAAAATGTGCTTCCTATCTGATTTTAATGTGTTGATGTATTAATAAAAAAATAAATATATAAAGATGTTTAACTTTCGAAGTCAATAAGCAGCCTACAAAGATCCTTATGTCCAGGTCAGTGCTCTCCACTTGTATTGCAGTTGGACCACACTGGTATAGATTACAGGAGATGGCTGCCTGTAATGCTCCGTGTAGTGCACAGTTCTTGTTCCACTTCTAATCCAAAGCTGTAAGATTTATCTACACTGCCCTGGTTCTGTGGCCTTTCAGTAACTTAAAAAAGTGCCTGTAACTAACCCATTCTAATTACCATGTGGTACCACCTTAGAACAATGACTGGGTTCTGAAAAAGAAGCCAGAATTTACAGTGATGGGAGATTTCAGAATGACTGCTGGAGCAATAAGGGAATTATTAGGGATCAAGATAGAAAGCAGTTTTCCTCTTTTGCCCTTCATCCCCTGAGTGTGCTCAATCCTTCCCTCTCTTCTTCCAGTGTGTGACTCTAGGCTGTTTTAGAGTCTTTTGTTTTAATTGCTTTATACTGAACCTTAACTCAAGTGCCACTTTCTCTATGAAACCTTTCCTGGACAATCTGCAAACCTTTCCTGGACTAGTACCCATAAAATGTCAAGACCTAGAAAAAGGACCCCTGAATCCTCAGTGACCTCCTATGGAAAATTTTGAGAGGACACAGACAAGACTCACACAGGTTCAAAAAGTATGGACAGGTTACTGTTTGGAGGGAGTACCCATTTTGATGAAAGCACAGATGTACTAAAGTAAGTTATGGAGTCTGTTGAGGGAGGTGAGAAGAAAGAGGGAGTGATAGAAATAAGACATTAATCATGGCAAAAAAAAGAAAAGAAAGAAAGAAGGCATCAAGCAGTCACATAATACCTTATTGAATATAAATATATAGGAGAGGATGCCTCCTTTTTACAGATCTGGGTAAATGATTCCTCCCCCACTAACACCCTATTCTAATTCCTCATGGTAAGCCAGGGTAGGAAAAGAAGAGGGTTTCTTAGGCTATTTCAGAGGGGATCAAGTTCGGGCAGGTTCTACCAAGTTGCAGGTCTGTTTCTAAAGAGCAGCCAGGCTGAGTTCAGAGAAACTCTTCATCACAGGGTTGGCCACCAAGTGATTCATTTTCTTTAGCCAAAGCAATTCATTAAGTATCTACTAAGGCTTGGTGGGTGGAGAGGCTGTCATCTACACTGGTGGAGTCATAACCACATGGATGAAATCACACATCCTTGAAGTACCGAAATATGTAAATAATCATGCAAATGACTTAGCCATAAAATCAGGGTTCCCACAGCAAGCAATTCCTTCTTTTCTTCAAACCACTGTGCATGTTCCACACATTTTCCTATACATCTCTCTTTACAAAAGGATTCAAATTAGGTAATTATACATTTTGGAAAGTAGAATTATTCCTGGCTCTGATGGCACACATTATTTACTCAATACCTCACAGCTTCAGGGCAATTACCTTATGTCATAAATTTGCATTTGGGCATGCCCCAACTAAAAGAGGGGTTGTCAAGGAAAGATGAGGGACAGGAGAAGGGGAAAAGAAGAAGTAAAAAATAGCTGGAACAAAAAGTAGGAATGGGAGTTGAGTACAGTGGCCACTGGTCACTGTTTCTGAACAGTGTTCAGGCCAACATTCCTAAGTTACTCTCTCTATGACTCAGCTAGGAAAGCACAGAGCTGAGAGCAAATTCTGGACATAGTCTCTCCTTCAGAATATATATTCATCATCATCCAAGACTACAGGCACCAATAGGAACCAAGTTTGCTGAAAAGACATGGGCCAGAGTTAATATCAACACTAGATATTACTCTCGCTCCTTTCTCTGTTCCTGCTAGGGCTCTCATAGCTGCCTGTAGCCTGTCAGACAAGGTGGAAATCAGCTCAGCGGTTACCTTCTTGGGCTTGCCTCTCCTTCAGCTGGCCATGTGCTCCTGCAGTTACTTTCTTGATCTTCCTACAACAGAGGCAGCTGGTAGCACAGCAAATAGAGTGCTGGGCTTGAAATCAGGAAGACTTGAGTTCAAATCTGGCCTTACACACTTACCAGATATGTATGCCTAGTCGAGTCAACCTGTTTGCCTCAGTTTCTTCAAATGTAAAATGAAGAAAATAACAGCACTGTTGTTAGGATCAAAGGAGATAATATTTGTAAAAGTGCTTAGCATAGTGCCTGGCATATAGAAAACACTATATACATGCTTATTCCCTTTCTTTATCCTCTTTCACCCTGGCCCAGCTGTGGGCTCTAAATAGAGAAGAAGGGCCACAAAGTAATGTGAGTGGCTTCTAGAACTTCCTCAATCTTTAACCCAAGTTCCTATAAAATTAATTTCTCTCATCTGTTGTTGCAGACAACTACTTAAAAAAAATAATTCTCTTTGGGGAAAGAGTGGTATCAACAGTACAATGGAACAACCATATGAAACAGCAACATGGCCTAGTAGATAGAGAGGACAGGACTTGGCAGTTAGAAGGACTGGGAATTCAAATCCTGCCTCAGACATTCTGACGCATAGCTTCTGATCCTGGGCAAGTCACTTAACCTATCTCTGGCTCAGTTTCCTCTTCTGGAAAATGGCAGGTAGGCAGCTAAAACTTATAAAGCTCTTGCTGTCTGGTGATAACCAGTGGGGATATAAGTATATGTGCCCCACCCCACAAAAATAAAGTCCCTGCCCTCAAGGAACTTACATAATAATAAGGAAAAGCAACAAATAAAAGAGAGCTAAAAATTACATGAATGGGTGGGTAGAACCCTAACAGGGCTGTTGAGAAGATCAGATGAAATAATATAGCCAAAGTGCTCTGAAAAAATTTAAGTGCCATTTGAATATTAGCTGTTATTATCATATGATCATGATATCTGCATCATCACATTTACTTATTCATACCACAAGGCTTTTATGTAACACTTTTTGGTTTGGTTCAGCGGTATTTCAGGACACTTCAAATGCTTTCATGAATTAGAATCCCTTTTATTCTCTATTATTTCTAGGCCCTAAAAAAAAAAGGGACCAGCATCATCTCTAGACCAACTTCTACCAATGTAATTTATCAAAAGGGAAATTGGCTTCTTTTCTCCAGGATCAAACCCCTCCTGATCCCTAAGATGTAGAGTTTCAGGTTTACATACAATCACCAGGAATCTTCTCTTTTAAAAATATGCCACCTAGAGCTATTATTTCCCAAAGTCTCACACCACCAACCTCAAAAATCTACCCTCTTTGTGGGTTTAAAGCACAACAGGAATACTAAAAGATGTGATTTTGTCAGTGTGGGGAAATTATTCAGCAGAAGGAACCTTTCTATGGTTTAGCAGATAAACACAAGAGAGCTGCTTGAGGCACATATGTATAGGTTTAGTGACTTGTCCAGGGAATCAAAGCTAGTTGAATGTCAAACAAAGGATAAGTCTTCAAGACAAGCCCAGCACTTTATATAGCAGGGCACAATTTCTCTATGCCAAGAATAACTATTCTAAAACAAGTATCCTAGAAAGGTGGCTTTTGATAATCCCTCAGGCATGTATGATATAACCAACTAAGATGGTGTACTCTAAGACAGTCCTATTGCCTGCAACTTCAAAGCAGCTGACAGCTTTCTTCATCCTGTAAGCTCTTTGAGAAAAGATATCTTTTCTGTAAAACATAAATACTTATGATTCCAAGCATAGTGTCCCCTATGCCACCATGCAAGGTGATAGTGCTGAAAATGGAGGTAATTTTAAAAAAATTTAGCCTTCCAAATTACACATCAAAAGTCTAGTTCTCCCTGGCCATGTTAAAATATATGTGAATGTTTCCTTTTTCCTTTCTGGTCCAATTACAAAGTGAATTGCTTAAGTCATAGTATGCCAGTCTGACTTCATGTATAGATATCCCTGCATTCGTCTGGACACAACCATTTAATTCACCCTCATTAATTTCTTTAACAATTACATTTAAGGCTTTTGGAGATCATTTCACATGGCTGAAGACTGAGGGAAAATTGCAGAGTGTACACTGGACAAACTCTGTACTTCTTATGAAATGCCAGCTCCATTTTGAATAACCAACCATACCAATTGCTTACAGATTGTTCCAACCTCATTCCAACCAGAGCCTCTTCCATTCTGCTAATTCCACATTAGAAATGATGGTTTTGCCTTGGTATGTGATGGTCAATTTCATTTCATTTTAGCAATGTTTGAGAAATACATTCTGATATTTTGTGGAAATCCTGAACTCAACTTACTCCACCATACTTTGTCAAGGAAAGATGCCAACTTCTCAGTCTTGGCCCTCAGAGTGGATTGCTGATCCTAATCCACATAGAACAAAAAGCATATGAATTCCCTGAATTTAGACTATTGGACACATCAACTCACAACCACCAATACCCCACAAACAAGTCTCATCATCTTTGTTCCACAGCTCTGGGTATCTCATTCCTGTTCAGAGAAAGAGCTTAGGGATTAATTTACTTCCACTCCTCTTTGTCAAGTCTCTCAGGATAGAGGTGAATGAACATAAACTCTGAGCTAGACCCAGTCAGGCTTCTGAACAGCTCAGCAGATCGAGGACAAAGGCATTTTTTAAACTTTGCTGCATCACTTTAAAACGATCTTTGTCTTTTAAGGAAGACAAAAGGTCTATCTTTTAAAACATTTGTATAATAAACCATTTGTAATTCATAGGCTCAAAGGTTTAGTGCTAAAAGACACCTTTGAGGTAATGGAGTACAAGTTCCTTTGAGGTAATGGAGTACAAGTTCCTTTTTACCTATGAGGAAACCGATCTAAGGTTGAAACCCATCTTAGTTTGATTAGAAAAAATAAGTGTGAAAAACTGAAACTTCTGCCTTTGCAGGGAGGAGAGGCATTGAGATTTGGGAGGAGAATGTAAAGCCGTAAATCTGCAACAAAATTTTCACCTAAAACAATAAATACAAGACAACACAGGATTACAGAATTCTGGAGCTGAATAGGACCTCAGAGAAAATCTAATTAAAATCTCTTATTTTACAGATAGGGAAACTGAAGCCTAGAAACCTGCAGTCTACCAAGGTTGACTCAGATCACCAAGCCACAGACCTCAAGAGGCAGAACCAGGCTTAGAACCCAGGTCTCCTAACTTCTAGGTCACTACTCTTCCAATTATACCACACCATTTTAGAGTCTTAGGAATGTCCACCAACACATTCTAGGAATAAGTAAGTATAACCTATTTGCTACAGGAAAGCAGCTACGGTATTGCATGGTAAAATTTCCTATGCTGTTTAGTTCAGGGTTCCCAATCTTTCTATAAAGAGGGATCATATATTTTGGTATCACTATAGGGCAGGACCTGATAGTAAGTTTATAAGTGGCAGCAGGAACACAATGTACCACCAGTTTCCTCCTCATCACACTAGGACTCCAACAAAATGAGGAAAGGGGTAAGCACAGCAGAAAGAGGTATATGCCATCTACAACCAGGCTGGAGATCCAATAAAGTTTTGAGATAAGCCAGTCTACAGATTTGGGGCAACTACTGCAATTCAGCCCATGTTAGATGACATACTCACCTTTAGCCTAACTGTTTTGAGTTGGCTTTATTCACAGCATCCTCACAAGAGATTGTGGAGTCGAGATAATCCCCTCAGTGCTGAATCAAGGGCTACTGACCCTGCTTCTTCTCTTGATACTTTTACAGAGAACAAGAATAGCTCATTTCCCCAAAATAAAATGTTGGCACACTCACCACCAGTTTTTGCTGGTGGTTTTTTTTTAATTTGTAATGACCAGAAAGGAAACTATTTCATTCCTTAGAATTGATGGTATCATTTTTACATAATGAAGATTCATCACAGGAAGGCCTCAGAGCTACAGAGTCAAAACATAACACTTACCCAATATGATTTGTTCTTAAAGAAATTTCCAGTTCTCTTAGCACTTGTGTAGATTCTTGGACTCGTCTCCTGAATTTCTACAATTCAAGAAAAGAAAAACTCAAGAAACAGACTTACGTACTTATGCAGACTGCCGCAATTGTAGGTTAATTGTAACAAGACTGATGCAGCATGAAAAACATGACCACTTCTAAAGTGGATTTTCTCATCTTTTATTTTGTGCAGAGTATACTAAAGCTATCTTTCAGTAGGTACACATTTTAGGGGTTTTTTTCCTCTCTAAGGGTAATGTCAAGATAAAGGGGGAAACCCTGATATTTATTTTCATGAAATAAGTAGCTTCAAGGCCCATCATAATCTAACCCTATTTAAGCTCTGTACTATTATTACCCATGATTCCAAAGGACTGATGGTAGAGGAGATTGGGGTGTGGGGTGTGTGTGTGTGTGTGTGTGAGAATTTATAAAAAAAGAAATATAGCAATGGCAAAAATGGAAGATATGAAAGAACAAATTATGTAAAAGCTAGAATTCATAAAAAAAGTAAAAGGTGTATTTATATACAAATTTTTTCTAATTCTGACAATGCACATTTAAAGTCTTTCCTAGTCAAGTCAGGATCCTCAGTGTTCCATAAAACACACTACTTTCATTCTTGCTGTTTTTCTCCACTGTAGTTGGTTCCTTGCCTGGAGTATCCTCCATTCTCCCTTACACTATCCGATGTTTTACACATCCTTCAAGGACCAGTTCAAATCTCGCCTCCTTCCTTCATGAAGCTCTTCATGATTATGCCAGTGCTTACTGAGCTCCTTGTCTTCTAGACTTCTATAGTATTTATAGTTTGTAAGACACAATTTTGCACGAAATTATATACTGCGATATATTTTTTGCTGTGCTTTTACCTTTTCTCCTAAGGCACAATGGAAGTTCCCTGGCATTTCTTACACACACACACACACGAGCACATGCGCGTGCACATACACACACACACACACACACACACGCGTCAATTTTGTTGATACTTTGGTATAAATCAGCCAGTCTTACAAACAAACACTTGGGGGGACGATGAGAATGGCCTGGTAACTGAAAAGCTGAGAAACCGGTATTACTAAAATACAGTTTTGATCAAATAAGTCCCTTAGCCAAGAAGCTTTTATGACTTCCTGTTGCCTCTAAGAAAAGACAAACTCCTCTTTTTGGTATGTAAAGCCCTTCATAATCTGACTCCAACTTAACCTTTCTGGGCTGATCACACATTACTCTTCCTTACATACTCTACAATCCAAACAAAGTAACTCACTTGTTCCCTGTATACAGTATCTCATCTCCTGCCTCCATGCTGATCTCATGCTCCTCCATGTCTGCAATGCACTGCCTTTTCACTGTTGACTCTGTGAATCAATTGACCAGAGGTTCTTAAACTTTTTTATGTCACGGACCCCTCTAGGGGACTGGTGAAACCTACAGACCCAATCCCAGAATAACGTTTGGAAATGCATAAAATACAAAGGATTATAAATAAAATAAATTATACTGAAATAGTTATTGAAATATTTTTAAAGACAAATTCACAGACCCCAGGTTAAGAACACCTGCTGTAGAGCCATCTCAAGAAACATCAGATACATAAGACCTTTCCTCATCCCCTACTTGTTACCCCCAAACTCCTGAAAAAGCTTTGTATTATTTTGTATTTATTCATTTGTAAATCTGTTTTGTGTCTCCTTTCTATATTCTTCTCTCATTAGTAATCTCCTCCCCAAGAAATCACTTTGTATTTCTTGGCATGAAACTTTTATGTATCTATAACATTTACTTATCTATAAGTAATTACTTGACCCTCCCCCACCACTATTAGAATATAAGCCCGTTGCAGACAAGCACTATCATTATTATTATTATTATTATTATTATTATTATTATTATTATTATTATTATTATTATCCCCAGCATTGAGTAGAACATAGCATTTAATTAGTACCTAATAAGTGCTTAATGACTGACTGATTGATTTCTCTACATTTTCTAGCCTGGTCTTCATCTAGACTTTGTATTGTAAAGAGTCAGCCTCAGAAGTCACTCGTCCATTAAGTAATTACCAAATAATAATGCTTTCCATTTCTATAGATCATTCTTTCTAGTACAAGTCAAAGTGCTTAAATGACAAATAGTGAATGACACAAGAAAGTATATCTTTGGGTTGGGAGGCATAAACCCCTGATACCACACTCCAGAACTGCCCTTGTAAAAGGAAGGTCTACTGGGATACTTTTGTGGCAAAAAGCAAGGTTTTGGAGGGCAGAGATAACAGGTTTTATTTCACAACCCCCAAAACGGCAGCTGCCCTTAGAGAACCAGACTCTGCTGGTCTGCGGTTTGCGGTCTTTTTTTGGTGCCAGACATCAGCACAAACCTCAATGCACAAGCAACTGCCTAGTGCATGGGGAAGCTGCCTTGGCAAATTCTGGTCACTGAGATATTTAATTTGGCCTCTTCCTTCTCTGCTCCAGTGGGTTTCATTTTAAGCCATCAAAATAAATTACAGAAGAATATCTAAACAAAACTTGCTTAGACACATTTTTTTTCCTAAAAAGAATTAAGTATCTTCTATTTGATTTGAACCAAAGATTAATGAATGAAATATTCTGTGACTCCAAGGACAGTTAAATGGAGGCAGCTCAGCCTAGACTGTCTGGCTGGGATTTAAAGCCCTGGTTTGAAATCTTTTTCTTTTTATTTTTTTTCCTCTCTCTATAACACAGCTGAGAATCTTAAACTCATTTTAACTGCAAACCATGCCTTATTCCAAACAAAATCTCCTTCTTTCCTGGCTTTAAGCATTACAATTAGGTTGTGTGGAACTGAGTGTCCCTTGCTGCCAGATCCTGACAGAAATCTTTCTAAAACCAGGGAGGTTTGATTCAATGTCTATTTAATTTTTTTTTCCGCTGAATTAATGAACAGGGAAAATGGAACACAGACCAACAGCCACAAAGCATTTCAGGGTGAACAGACACCATCCAAGGAGGTAAATTCAGGAGCAAAGGTCAGCTCAAACAAACCTTCTTTGTTGTTGACTTCTGGATTTTATTTGTTAGAGAGGAAAAGTTTTGTTTTTTGTTTTGTTTGCTATGTTTTGCTTTACAGTACAGGCAGGAAGCAACAGTCCCAAGGAGTGTCCCATGATGAGGCTGGGAACCAGATGAGGATAGCCCCACCCCTATGAGCTTCTTCCTCCCTACTATGGCTCTGGGTAGGGAGCCAAGTGCTTCTTAATGGGTTTTCAATTCGAATGCTGCAAGAATATAAAAATGTTTTCATTTTGTGAAATTTGTAAACCATTGAATGATTTAGTTTTGAGATCTGCTTTACTCTGATCCAGGGGCTCTGAGAACCCAGTCACAACTTTGGGAAGACAACAGTTGAGGCTTCTAGGAGGACGAGGTTCAGCATTACATAGAGCCACTTGGCATCTCACTTCAAGTTCCCAAACTTTAGCTCCTGATAGTGGGCTCAAAATAGTCCACCTTGGTGTACTGCAATTTACGTGCTGTTTGCAACCCATTTTTAAACATTCAGTCCTAAGAAAATGCTATTGACAACTGTCAGCAGAAAAACTGTACTATGCCAATTTGTGTGTTATTTTTAACCTTATTCCATTTTTATTAAGATACAGCTTATTTTAAAAAATAAACTTAAAAAGGCAGAATCACCACTGCCCTGCCTATGTCTCCTTCCCAGACTTCCTTTTGACCTCTTCTATATACGTTTAGATGCTTCCCTGTTGCTTATTTCTTCCTTTTTTCCATTCACATCACTACCCCCTCCACCCCTCCAGACTCTACCCTTCCCAATCAAAGTTTTCTTAGTAACAAATAAGTATGGTCAAGCAAAACAAATTTGAATTGTATTAGTTGTGTTAAAAAACGTATATCTCCTACTATGACTACAGTCAATCTGCTCTTCACCAAGAGATGCGCGGCATGCTTTCCCCATCAGTATTCATGGCTGACTAATGCACTGATCAGAGTTCTGGAATCTTTCAAAGTTGTTATCATTTAAAACAGGAGTGGAGAACCTGTGGCAAGGCCTGTTTTAAAACATTTTTACCTTAAACTCCTCAGCTGTCTTAATTCATGCAGCTCCATGGGAAGCTGGCAAAGTAAATTAGGGAAGGAAGCAAACCAAAAATGTCACCCATTAATTTAAGAACTGAGCAGCACTCACGAAGCTGACTCTCGTCATGTAAGGTGCAGCTCTACCTTCATACTTGATCTACACTACTGAATGAGTGATACCTATGCCATGAAACCAAATAGCTAGCATTTATATAGTACCTGCTATGTGCCAGGCAGTGGGCTAAATGTTTTACAAATACATTCCTTTGTTTCCCACAACAGCCCTGGGAGGTAGACGCTATTATGAGCTCCATTTTACAGTTAAGGAAACGGAGGGAAAGTGACTTGCCCAAGGACACAGAGCTAGTAAGCGTATGAGGCCGTATTTTAATTCTGGGGCTTCCCTGACTACAGATCTAGTGATCTATCCACTGTGTCACTTGCTATGCCATTAAGCTGCCTCAGAATGTAATCTCTTAGAGAGGAAGGCATTGTGCCAGGAGTCTCTCAAGAACAGAACTTAGTATATTGTAGACACTGAATGAATTTTAAAATGCACGCTATTTTTTTCTCCCCTTACTTATCACAAGCTACTCTCAAAAGAAAAGTTCAGAAAAAATTTAGAAGGAAGCAAAGTCTGTTCTCATTGGATTTCTTTTTTTGTTTTTATTAAAAAGCATAATAACAATTACCCACAGAGATAACAGCCCCTAAGCCAATAACTAGCAAGTGAAGTTTTTCTTTTTTTCTCTCCTGACCCACATGAACAACAACAGAGGGACTGTAGCCTTGACAAAAAGGAGGGGCAGTAGGTCAGCAGGAAAACAAACGTTATCTGGTGTAAAGCCCTTTTGCCCATCTTGATTGAGGCCAGCTTTGCCCTGAGACAGCCAGGGATTGCTCCAAGGCCCCAAGGGCTGTGCCAGGCTACATACTTTACCACAAGGCATCTGCCCAAACCAATTGTGTGGCTGCAACAAAGCAGGGCTTGTTTGGAAAGAAAGAGAATGAGTTGAGAATGGAATCAGATGTTCTCTCCTCACCTTCTTGAGGGAGGAAGAGGCTGTTAAAAGTGGCAACACAGGATATGAACACACAGCTGAACTGACAAAGCCACAGTAATTCTCAAGGTCTCTGGAAGTGTACCAGTGCATGACAAAACATCTTTCCTTTCTGCTAGGCACACTTTTCTCATGTTTTGCTACACCTTTGAGCTCTCCCCTTGCACACTGCAATGGGAACAAATGGCAATAACTGAATAGCCCTTCTGCCTGGCTTCCTTCCTTCTCCACTAAATACCCCCAAAAGCCAAACTTCCAAGGTGATGGGAATTGTCAGGGGAGGTGGAGTCTTTTCCCTATGTTCCCTTCTCATTTTTTCAATTTCAAAAGACTATGTTTCCTGGAGGATCTGGCAGCGGATTTGTGTTTGAGGAAGGAAGTCTTCTTCAAACACAAGAGGATTCTGCTTGCTAATGAGGACACAGCCTAACAGCCATCAAATTCATCTTACCTTCCTGGTTACAGCTGGATCCAGATAGCCTTTCAGCTTCTGGATGTATGTGTGGGGAGGATTCTTGACTTGGAATCTTTCCTGCAGGGAACACAAAAGAAATCAGAAAAATATTTAAGCTGTGAAGAATGACACATCCCCTCACATTCATAAGGATAAATATCACAGTTCAACACCAGAAATAAGTCTATGAAAGCAATCCTACAAAGAGCCAACTGGCAAAAGCGAGAAGCAATTTTTGTTTGGTGTGAACGAGAGCTATATTTAAGGATCAGAATGCTAGAAAAGCCCTTAGAGATCTTCTTGTTCAAATCCTTTCATTTTGTACATAAAGAAATGAGGCTCTAAGGGGGTAAGCAACTTTGCCCAAGCTGATCAGTTGTAGACCTCCGACTAGAGCCTAAGGCTCCTGACTCCAGGGCCAATGCACATTGCAAGACCCTACACACAGATATACCTACACACACACACACACACCAAATTTTAGTACAGCAGTATGCATATACATCTCATGTATACTATATGATTACATGCATGTATATATGCAGAGCATGTAAATATGTGTGTGTATGTATGTGTAGAAATTTATTATAGTCAGACAATCAACAAGCATTTATCAAAGACCTATTATATGTCAGGCATTGTGTAAAGTGCTCTAGTGCCAACTTCCCTCTTTTAATTATTTCCCATTTCTTCTGTATATTGCTTGCTTTGTATATATTTGTTTGCAAGCTGTCTCTCCCATTAGATGGTAAGCTCCTTGAGGTTAAGGACTGTCTTTTTCATCCCCAATGCTCAGTATTCCCAGTAGGCAGTTAATGAATGTTGACTGATTAGTTGAAAAGCAAACAACAGTCGCTGCTCTCAAGGAGCTCACAGGCTAATGGGAGAGACATCTATTACACATATTTCAATATACCTCAAGTTAAATTATTTCCCCTTCCCAACTAACTTCATACATGGCTAGTACACAAAGTGTGACTTTGAAAGCAATGAGACTGATTTGAAAACAGACATGGCAGAATTTATATATCTAAAAGAACTTCATCCCTTTCAAAGTAGTGACCTCTGAATGCATGTGTTCTAACAGTTTTTGATTTAAAAAAACAAAACCAAAAGATTCTGGAACTTGTTTTTTAGAAATGTCTCCAGAGTTCAGTTATGAGATACACAAAATTAAGCATTTTACCTTAATAATCACCCCTAATTTTTTTCCCCTCCAAATGGCATTTACTTTCTTCATCAGACTTGTTTCCAAATGCCTTAGTAATGTTTTTAAAAAGTCAAAATTACACTCACAGGTTAAATATGTGCCACCCCTAAAGATGTTCAAAAAAACACACCATAGGCTCTAAAGGCATTTCCAAAAGAGATGTCCCTCCACACCCTCCAAAAAAAGACCAGTTTTTAGAAATGACAGCATTGTGTTTTATTTAATTGATTTTTAATTTTCAACATTCACTTCCATAAGTTTTTAAGTTTTAAATTTTCTCCCCTTCCCTTTACTCTCCCCTCTCCAAGACAGCATGCAATCTGATATAGGCTCTAGTTATAGATTCATATTAAGCATACTGTCATATTAGTCATGCTGTAAAGATGAATTAGAACTAATGGGGAGGAACCACGAGAAAGAAAAAACAAAATAACACAACAAAAGAAAAGGAGAGCAAACATATGCTTCCATCTACATTCAGACTCCAAAGTTTTTTCTCTGGATATAGATAGCATTTTCCATCATGAATCTTTTGGAGCTCTCTTGGATCCTTGCATTGCTGAGAAGAGCTAAGTCTATCAAAATCAGTCATGGCACAATGTGTTGTTACTGTGTACAATGTTCTCCTGGTTTTGCCAGGTGTATCTTCTTTATGATTAGGTGTCAGCATCAGTTCATCTAAGTCTTTCCAGGTTTTTCTGAAGTCTGTCTGCTCATCATCTCTTATAGCACAATAGTATTCCATTATATTCATATACCAACTTGTTCAGCCATTCCCCAATTGATGGACATCCCCTCAATTTCCAATTCTTTGCCACCACAAAAAGAGCTGCTATAAATAGTTTGGTACATGTGAGTCCTTTTCTCGTTTTTTATGATTTCTTTGGGATACAGACCTAGAAGTGGTATAAATGACAAAATTGTTACAATAAATGTGCTAATACAATGCTTTCTATACCTTATTTGAGGGAACTTAGAGATACTCTCAATCATAAATACAACAAACATCAGGCACCCATTATGAGTGTATTACTGTGTGAGGCACTGGAGAATGGTAAATTCTGGATAAAACATGTCTCCAGTTTATAGTTTTATAGTGACACAAACACAAATAACCATAACATACAATATTTCACAATAGCTGCAAAGTAAATACCGAAAGAAGTTTGACTGGGAAGGTCATTACCAACTCAGAGTCCAAGGGAAGGCTTCTTGGAATAGATCTCTTGTGGGGGAAGGGGGAGAGCAGGAGCTTTAAGAGATGGGTTAGAATTCACAGGGAAAGAAGAGGAGTAAGGACATTCCAGGTATAACTAGGGAAAAACAAAAGGCATGGACATGAAAGAATTCCATAATGATACTTGGCTAAAGCCAAATGAGACAATGATAAAACTGAGATGATGCCAGGTTGTAGGAGGTACCTTGAGCATCAGGTAAAGGAGTGTGAACTTCACTAGGTAGACAAGAGGGAGCCAGTGACAACCGCTGAAGAGAAAGACATGCTGACGCTTAATCATAAAGAAGATACACCTGGCAATGCTATAAAGGGCAGGTGGGTTCAGGTAAGGAGTGAGGGTAGAGCCCTATTAGAAAATTCTACTAAACATGCTATTAAAACAGTCAAGTTTGGTGGTAATGATGGCCCTACTACTAGGCTGGGAAAGCAGAGATGGCAATATATATATGAGACATAGTGAAAAATTAAAATTGATAGGACTTGGTTACTGAGTGCTTAGGAGAGGGAAGAGTCAGAGGCAACACTAAGGGTGGGAATACGGGTTAGTTGGCTTCCTTGTCAACAATGCTTTTGGTTAGGGCAGGTAGGTGGCACAGTGGATAGTGCTCCAGCTTTGGAATCAGGAGGACCTGAGTTCAAATCCAACCTCAGATACTTGACATTTATTAGCTGTGTGACCCTGGGCAAGTCACTTAACATGGACTGCCTCACCAAAAAAAAAAAAAAAACAAGAACAACAATGCTTTCAGTTACATTTTCCTTAAGTGCTCAAAGCCTTTGAGATATGCTTTTAAGTTTAATAAACTTTCAATAGTTGTATTGTAAAAGCCATTCCCCAATTGATTAAATGGTCAAAAGGTATAAAGAGGCAGCCTTTAGAGGAAGAAGTCTAAGCTATAAATAACCACTTGAAGAAAATGCTCCAAGTCACGAATAATGAGAGAAATGCAGACCAAAACAACCTAGACTCATCAGATTGGCAAAGTTTTACAAAAAACGGAAAAGGACAAATGCTAGAGGGGCTATGGGGCTATGATCAAACATGGCCTTGTGACAGACAGATGATGGATGGACTCTTGGACTAAACTGGGGGAGGGGTTTTTTTTTGCATGTGGATAACACAAGAATTTGTTTTGGGGGGCTATATATATTTGTTACACAAATCTTGTTTTTCTTTTGTTTTTGGTTTTTTTTAATGGTGCGAGGAAAATGGAGAGGGAAATAAAAAGATTGTTAATTTTTAAAAATTAAAAATTATATCTTTCAAAATGCCTTGAATTTGAATTGTGTAAGAATATGCTTCCTTAACTTATTTTGAATTTTTAAAAACTTATTTCTATAAACTAGAGAATGAATGTTGTCAAGTGTTTAAAAGCGTATGTTTACTACCAAGTCTTCTGATTGTTATTATGACATGCTTTTCTCCTAAGAATCAAATAAAGCTACTTGGAGGTAAGAATGCAAAGCTCCAAGAATTTTCTTTCTTTTTTCTTTTCTTTTTTTTCCTCACTAAAAAGTGAGGCAATTGGGGTTAAGTGACTTGCCCAGAGTCACACAGTTAGTAAGTGTTATGTGTCTGAGGACAGATTTGAACTCAGGTCCTCTTGACCCTAGGGCCAGTGCTCTATCTACTGAGTCACCTAGCTGCCCCCACTCCAAGAATTTTCTTATTGCTTGGGATTGTCTAGTTAATCTCACATGAAACTACCATTTTGGGTTACAAGTACATTTGACATGGCAAACCTTATAACTAAATTAAAAATTTTTTTTCCTGATCATGGTGAACAGAACCAATGGATATCAAATCTACTTCAGTTAAATCGTTAACATTTGGAGAATTTCAGCACTACTCCCAAATAAATGCATTCAACTTGGAGAAATTCTTGGGTGGATTTTAAGCTTTGTTCTTACTCACATTCACTAAAGTTTTATCTCAGTTCCTGAGGTTCAAGTTTCTCTGCTGAAATCGAAAACTGACATTTTCTGGGATAACTTTTTGATCATCCTTTCTTAAAAAGCAGCCTCACAACAAATATCCCCTTATCATCTTGCCACACTGCATTTTTGTACACTGGGAAGTCATTCTTCTAGTTATCTGTCTATTAAGCACCATCATTACCATTCCAGGGCCAGACCCCAAAGCAAATCCCCCCCTCCCATACGCTACCTTGGGTTGTTGCAGAGTTGCAAGTTACCCATACTTATTTATTATGGTGATTTTTCCAACAGGAATAAGTACATTATTGCAAAGGACTTTTAAAATGCAAATTGCTGTAGATATTCAGAGCACCTCAACCACTCTGATATTCTGCACAGTTAGATGAAATCAGTCTATTTTGTGCCAGGCCCAATGCTGGATTCTAAAGATACAAATACCAATAATGAAACAATTCCTACCTTCAAGGATGGACATGTACACTGGATTTAATCAGAAATCCTAGATTTCAGTCCTGACTCTAACACTTAATAGCTGTGTTAACAGAAGCATTTATATTCTAATCTATGTTTTCTCATTTGGAAAATGGGAAGAAGGAATATTTGCACTATTTATCTTTTAAAAAAATTTTTTAATAATTTATTTTTAGTTTTCAACATTCACTTCCATAAAATTCTGAGTTTTAAATTTTCTCC